AAGATTTAATTTGCGACCAAATATTGTCATCATTATCTGGTGGCAAAAAGTCTTTCTTTAATCTTTCTACAAGAGATTTCCAATCTGTAACATGTTGTTTAATACTTCTGTACCAAATAAAAGCATTCCCGGTAAAAAGTTCTACTGCGGAAGAAAATAAATCTTGTTCACTAACTTTACGTGATTCAGAAAGCTCAGTAACAGTTTCTAAAAATGAAAATAAATCTTGAGGATTACCATTAAATTTAATAGGCCAGTCTGACACTGGACAAGGTTTAGCAACATAAGTCACAATAGGAGGCGGTAATTAATAACCGGTCCTGAAGGGACAGAACTAACATTTAAAATTTCATTTGTGTCAGAAATTTTTGAAAATAAGTCAGCTTCAAGTTGATAACAACTAGTATAAACATCAGTTTGAATAGTCTCTGCATCAGCACGATTTTCATCTAAAATTATTCTTCTAATTCTACCAGCCAAATGTACAAAACGAGATTTTATAACTTTAAACATTGAATCATTTACTCCACCCTCGAATTCAGAAATTGACAAAGAAATTGAATCTAAAGTTGCTTTAATTTCGAAAATTTCTTGATCAAAAGAAAGAGGATAATTTTCCATATTAACTAAACAAAAAGGGTTATTAATTTCTCTACTTAAAAGACCTGACAAAATTTTACGTTTACTCTCAACATTTTTAGATGTCTTAATACCCCTAATAAGAAGTTCATAATCTAATTCTACTTGTCGTAAATGATTAACTTTAAAAGATTCTTTCTCCATTGTAATTCAGTTGTTATTATTAAGATATTAAAGACTAAATGATTCAGAAAAATTTACTAATTTTAACAAAAAGCTGTTATGACTCGACGCAATTTATCAGAAAGAAATTATGTTCATGTCAAAACCAAAAAAGACTCAAATATTCAAAACAAATTCCAAAATATTACGAAGTACTAACAACACTACCCTGTATACTAAAATTATGTCCACTCTGTATATTCAAAATATAACCTTACCTGTATATTTATATCAAGATTAAAATTTCAATAAACTATGTAGTCAGAAGTATCAAGTTATTTATCTCTGAGTTTTAAACCGATAAACACCCTCTATAACATAAAAAACAAAAATTGCTATTGTACTGAAATTATAAAAATTAAATTACAGAAATAATGAAAACAAAATTTCAAAACTATAGTCTTTGCCTTAAAGAAAATTTATCTGAGCCTAACAGAAATTATTTTACTAAATTAAGTTTACCAATAAAAGTCAAACAAAATAAACTAAGTTGATCCAATTAAATATAACATGAGCCAATCAAATTAAGCTGAACCAATCAAATTAAGCTCAGTCAATCAAATTAAGTCGAGCCCCACGTTACAGGGCGTCATATACTTTATTCTTCTATGTGTGACGACTTTTCTGTCGTTACCCAAATAGAATGAAAAAAGAATCCGTTGCTCAGGGTTAGAGGAAAGCTGGGTTCGTAGGTAAGGCTTCTGACTCATAGTGACTTTCTAATGTTGTTAAAAAATAAAAAAATGATAATATGTAGGCTGCAGAGATTTTAATATTGATGTTAAGAATTCAAATAGGTATGGTCAAAGACAGTGAAAAGGGCGCCACTTACTTTGTTTATGAGAGTGGTAAAGTAAGAAACCAAAAAGAAAAATATGATATCACAACATAGCTAAAATAAAGTAATCAACAGCATTAAGGGTCTATTATATTTATCAGGAATAAAAGTCAGAAATAACTATCCTACATTAAACATTTATTGAAAACGAACACAAGTATCATCAATTAGTCACAGTGATCCCAATAAAACCGCAAATTATTTTCAATAGATTTGAATTTAGTAACTGTATTCTTTGAACTAAGTAAGCTACTTAATAAAAACAGGTGAAATTTATGTATGTCTCAATACGATGATGTTTCGAAACATGTCGTGTACAGAAACCTTTAAAATGAATACGTGTTAATAATTTTCATATAAAATATCATAGCTAAGTAAGAGTGTACTGTACGAATCAAATTATAACTTATAACGTTAAATAAAACATAATTTTGACTACAATATGTGGGATAGATAGTGATAATTTACCAGGTTATTAAATCTGTTGTCTCAAAAATTATAAAATAAAAGCGTACCTTGTGTATCAAACTTAAGACTTATCTGTATAGAGATTCTTATGATGTAAACAGGTAGGTAGGTATTCTCCAGACTAACAGAAGTGGATGCAGATGACTATGGCAGGATAAGTCTTCGATATCAGCCAAAAGAACGATTGTAATGTCAGGAACACTGTCTTAAGGTCTGCATATGTCCACACAAAATGAAAGTGGGTGAAACATACAATAATTACTGCATTATTACTGCATACCATGTGGTAGTTACTGAGTACCATGTGGTAGTGACTCTATAAATAAAAAATAGTTCTCAGGACAGATACTCAATTAAAAAAAACAACTTACGGTCTGAAAATCAGCTTTACATAAATATATTCAAACCATATGCCGATCCAAACCAGTAATTAAATACTCAAATAAACGAAATAAAAAACGGAAATAACTGAAATAGAATTTAGTTAGATAGGGCTATATAAAATTGCGGATAAACTTACGGTGATCATTCCAAGAGGAAACCAAACAAATACGATCTATTACTCTGGATTGCATACTTTACAAGGTTTTCAAATTTCCAAATCGGATACCCATGCAATCGAAATCGAAAAGTGGATGCAGAGTGCTTTTCACTGGAAAATTTGTCGGACGCCGAAACACGCGTCCTCTTCAGATCCAAATTACCAGAAAAAAAAGAAAAGAGAGAGAAAAAAGTGATATCATATGATCGAAATCATTAGAACAGAAAATCGCAATCCACAGCGAAGTGAGATTCAGACAAGTGAAATGCAATTAAGGAAGTTTGGCATATAGCGAATAGATGGCGCTAATAAACAAGACAAGTAAACTGTAAGAAATGAAGTTTGACATCTAGCGAATAGATGCACTAATAAAAATTAAATATCGAAACAAGTGAGCTGTAACAAATGGAGTTTGGTATCTTTGGCATCTAGCAAATAGATGGCGCCAATACTAAGAAATTTAAATAAAAATAGATTTTTAAATTCAATTTTATTAAAGGAAATAAAAAATGCTACAGATTAAGTTATTCAAATGATGATTTTTGACACATTTTATCATGGCTGTTGCTGCCTCAATGCTCAAAGAGAATAGCTTTTAACAAAGGAAAATTGATGTCTTGCAAATATTTGTTATATAATTTTATAAACAAGTTGCTTTTATTTTTTACTCTAAATAAAATTTTAAAAAAATGGTACACTTGGTACAATGTTACCGATTAAATTGTGTCAAGAAGTGAAAAAAATATTTTATAAATAGAGAATACACTCGATATATTCATAACGTAAGATATTAAAATATTCATAGACTTTGTGTCTAAATTAAATTTGGAAAAAAAAATAATGACCGAGTTTTCAAACCCAAAACAAACTATTTGGTTTTATATAAAACAAAAAGAGTAACTTTTGTAATTCGCATAGAGAAAGTAACTTTTGTAGGTTAGGTTAGATTGCTGGGGTTTGGGATCATGTTTGATACCTCACTCGGAGGCCTTGGGCCCATTGCGATACCCCTGTATTGTTGTGCAAAACCTTCCTCTCATTCTTTCTTTGCGTTAAAGCACTTTCAGCTCTTTGCAAAGTTCCCGATGTCGCTGATGTTGGCTTCTGCTGCTTCCTCTAGTCTCTCCAAAAAACCTTGCCCTAAAGTTTTAAAGCGCCGGTATTCAAGTGCCGGACAGTGGCCCAGCAGGTGCTCTATGGTTTCTTCTTCTTCTCCGTATTCTCTGCAGTAGTCTTTGCATCTCACGAGGTTTACCCCCGTGGGACAGTTTCCAGTAACGACACCTACAATTATGCGTACTAGATCCTTTTTGTGCTCTCTTTTTGTGCTCAGTTGTTTTGTCTTTGTGCTATCTACCACTGGCCATAGTCTTTGAGCTGTAGCGCAGTCCTCACGGTGTTGCCACGTCTCTTGCTGCTTGGCTTTGATGGCAGTTCCTATAGTTTCCTTCAGTGTGTTGATCGTCACAAGTGGTGGGTCATCTGCCATGGCCTCTCCCCTGGCCCCGTCTTTGGCGAGTCTGTCTGCTTCCTGATTGCCCACCACATTGCTGTGGCCTGGCACCCAGCACAGAGTAGCCCCGCCCTGACGCAGCCAGTACAGTGCTTCTCGGCATTCCATCACAGTTTTCGATCTCACTGATTGCATGATGATGCTTCTTAAAGCGGCCAAGCTGTCACAGTATATCACTATATCCCCTATTGGTCTATCAGCAATTTTCTCTCGTATACAACTAGCCGCTTCCTTTATGGCGTAAACCTCTGCTTGTAGAATATTATAGCCATCCGATAGCCTTAAAGATCGTCGGATGTCTAGTTCCTCTGAGAAGATGCCTATACCTGTGCCCCCTGAAGTTGCGGAAGCATCTCTGTAGACTGCTATCTCTTGAGTGTTCATTACTCGGTTGCTTTCCCATTTTTCTCTTGTTGATGCGAATCCTTATCTTATAGCATACAGTCCGTTTTCTGGTCTAGCAGATGTGGACTCGTGTTCACCATGATTTTCCCTATCACTGGCAATATCCTCGAGTGACCGTAGTTGGTCTAAAGTAACTTTCGTAACTCGCACTGTTTTTTAGAGAATTTTGAGAAAAAATACTAAAAGTTTACTAAATTCATATTTTAAAAACATAAAACATAGATTATTATCAGATACACTGCACCCCTTAAGCAACTAATATTTTGATATCAATGTTAGGTATTTTAGGGGAACATTTTATAGTCTTACTTTAAATAGGTATTAATTTATGCATCTATAATTTAATCTAGTTTTTATGTTATTTGAAATAGAAAATTATATCAGGTATGTTAATTCGAAAGATTAATTGTAATTATAATAAAATACAATTTCAG